CCCCCCCACCGCTCACTGAGGAAAGTTTAGTCGGCAAAGTCTCCAAAAATCTCCAAAACACCAGGAAAAGTTGCAAGATTTGTCGCATTTTAGAGAAAAGTTGCTAGAGGGGTCTGAAAACTCATTAAATCTAGTGATAAAGTGGCTAAGTTGTCAACACCGTGTCTTGGGCAAACAAGACCCTGTTCAGTAGATATTTTGCTAACAGACAGACAGAGTTGACTCCAACAGTTAATGCTAAGTTTTTACCACTTGAAGAACGTGTCTTTATTTCTAACTCACCAAATTTTGGCTCAAATATCTGTAAAAATGATACAGCCCCTTTTGTTTTGGCTAATGTTGATTAGCCATGGTAGCCATCTTGAACTGGRGTGACTCCCTGTCCATTTTGGAAATGGGCAAATATAAAAGTCAGTTTGGAAGATAGAGAATACCTACCAATGAATTACTACTTCTGTGWATGTGTAAAAGTTAATATTCACACACAAACACAGCATGCCTCCTCCTCACCTCTTCTGATCCTGAGCCAAAGATGAGCAGGTCAAAGGGTATGGCCGCCACCATGTCTATGAGGAACCAGCCTTTAAAGTAATGGATGGCGATCTTGGCCGGGTGGCTGACTACTTCCTCATTGGAGTTGACGTACGTGGTCCTGAAGTTTATGAGGATGTCCACGATAAACATGATGTCCACGATCAGATCCACCACGTTCAGCGGGGAGCAGGAGTAGCCACATTCTCGCCGCTGCCGCTCCTCGATGTCGTTGAGCAGGAAGGCGGCGGAGTAGGGCGTGAAGATGGCCGTGTAGATGACGAGCAGCAGGATGAGCCAGTCCCACACGGCTTTAAACGGGCTGTAATGGAGGATGGTCCACTTGTCGATACGTGGCGTCTGCAGCTTGTACTCAGGAAGGACGTCCGCACCGAGAGAGAGGACCTGAGGGCAACACAGAACATCCATCAACCTAACACCAGCTGAAATTATTCTGATCAGTCTCTTAAAAGGAAAACGTCTTGTGAATTAATAAAAAGTAAATTTAACAGTGTTGTGTCCTTCATGAATGATTCATTAAAACATATAAATCCTTTGAGCGAATTGAATCACTTCAATAACTGAATTGTTCCTTTCTTAGTTAAGATGAGCTCAGCACAGACGTGACTTGATTCATTCACTGCACATGAACGACTTGTTTCACTCTCACAGGACGAAAACTCTGGTTGTGGTGGGCAGTCTGTCAGGGCAGGAAAGTGTTTCGTTCAATGAACACACTACTAAGTTGCATTCTGTTACTAAGGCTGTGTCCAAAACAACAGGCCGGGTCCTCCGGAGGACCCAGACTACCCGGTCGAGGCGGGCCAGGTCCTTGGTAGACCGGGAAGACTGGAAAAAAAG